AGAGCCTCATAAGCCTACAAAGCGTGCACGTTGTTCTACAGGTGGTGTTGTTGCCGCAGTGCGTTCTCCAACACCTCCACCAAAGCTCAACTCACGCGGCCGTGCAATTAGGAAACCACGCAAGTTTCAGTGACAGAATTATTCAGCTATATCAATAAAGTACTCCACCAACAAATCTTGCAATAGCAACTTTTATATGTGGCTGTACAGCCTCATTTGTATGTGGTGTTGTGAAGAAGATCGCGTGCATTGACCGATCGCGTGCAGCCTGTGCACGGTCACTGTAATGTAGTTTACAAGCGAGTCGGTCACCCCACCAACTTTGCGCATCTCTACAGGCGTACAACTCAACCACGCAGTAAGAAAAATATATATAACGTGTTTCATCACGGAGCCCCCACCATCGCGACTGTCGCAGACTGTTCTGAGTGAGGTCGATAACGTCATTGGTGACCTCTATTGTTTGCAAGAGCATTCGCAAGGTCCAAACAAACAAGACGTCAACTGCATGGCGCAACCAGAAGCAAAGTTTGCTATGCTCGATGTTGGGAGGATCGAGTACTGGGCACGACGACGCGCTGAGAAAGGCGTGCCCCACTTTTCATCAGCTTTGGGGTTCTCCGAATTTTCCCCAAATCTCCTCCAACACCCTCAACCCTCACCCGGCTCCATGAAGTCGTAAGAATTCCCATCGAGATCATGGACAAGGTTGCAGGTTCTAAGCTCTATACACGCTCAACGTGCGCTCGCCAATTTGGCCGACTCGAGCATCTTCAGAGGCATGCGAGAATACGTTAGTGTTGGACGTAAATACAATCAGATGATCCGTTTCTTACTCGAGGCAGATACCAAAGAAAAGCCGTATAATTGCCCCTGTGGGAAGACCTTCACTCGACAGGATCTCTTGAAGCGGCATACAGGACTAGCTCATTCACCCACGAGTACTTCCAGCACACCATCAACATCTCAAAACAGTGCCTCAATTGCAAATACAAGCATAGAGACTGAGCGATCTCCTGTTGAGCCTACATTACGTTCTGGAGGCGAGAAAGACCACGATCATCCGGCCGCGGCCTTGTCTACGCCGTATGGACCTGAATTTGAATCCGCTAATAGTGAGGTCTCTACAAGCGCCGAAAGCTTCGCCGATCTTCCTATGTTTCATGATTTTGGATTGTTTGCGGACACCATGGGCTTTATGGGCATGGATCTTATGGAGCCGATGGATAGAGGTAACTTCCTACATTATGGCGTAAACATGTCATTTGCAAACGCAAGAGCCACACTCAACGAACCTCGGTCATCCGCTCCACACGTCGACCGTATGTTCTCCAAACTCCAGTACACATCAGCACTGACGTTACTTCTTCATAAATGATCTGTCAGAATTGAAGCCATTGGTCTGCCCATGGCGTGTTTCCGGGACAGCCCGACGGCATTTACTTGCAATATTGTCCCCGGAAAGTGCAGACCGTATGCCGTCGTGTCTGTCGCTTAACCGTTACTGTACAGGCTTTTTCAGTGACTTTCAAGGTCACCTCCCCATCGTGCATAGGGGCACGCTTGACACCGACGCTGCAAGTTATCAATCCCCTGAGTTGATCCACGCAATAGCTACAATTGGCGCGACTTACCGTTTCTGCGCTACAGATGCTTTGTTCTTGTTCCAGGCTTCACTTGACGAAGTTGTCAAACATTCGAGTGCCAGTGTTCCACTAGATCGACAGCGTTTGTCCATCCTGCAAAGTCTTGTATTGCTGGAGTACTTCGCAAATTTCCAGAAGCAGAACGTTCTCGTGAAAGAGCGAATGTTGTTGCACAACGAGTTGTTGAAGTATGTAAGAAGATTCCAGCCGCCGAAGCCTTCCAGAGAGGGGATAAACTGGTCAGACTGGGTCAACCGAGAGAGCACCCTTCGATCTTACCTTGCTGCTTTTTGCATCCTCAATGCGCACTCACTTTTACATGGTTTGGCACCCGATATGTCTAGCCTGGCGGTTCATTCCACTTTACCGAGCTCGACGATTGCGTGGGACGCGCTTTCGGCAGATCACTGGGCTGCAATAATTCCGCACGAAGCGATCGCGCCCAGCTTTCAGCAGGTACTAACATAGCTCTTCACGGGCAACGAGTCTATAATCATGGTGTCTCCGTTCGGCTGTCTAGTTCTTCTGCATGGTGTCCTACAGCGGATTTATCATGCTCGCCACCTAGCTTTTGGCGGAATGTTGCGTCCTGCAGACCTCGCAGAGATGAGTAAGTCATTGTGTTCTTGCTTCTCAGCAGTAGTTGACGGGTCACAGGCGAGCACTAGCATCGTGGAAGCGCTGCTGGAAGCGAGCGTCAGAGAGTATGATGGACCCCAGAAGTTTCGACGCTTCAATTTCGTGGCAATCGATATCGTATTTGATGATGGCCTATCTGCGACTGGGCCAACATCCTCTACCACCTTTCCATGAGACTACTGCACATATGGACCGTGAAAGCATACTAGCTGCACCAATGTCTGAGATTTCAAATGAGAACCGTTCCGGTTGGAACTACAACGCGCTGTTGCATTCCGCTCATTCCTTGATGATCATTGTCAGAACCGGCATTGAGCATCACCGAAGAACTCTGTCCTATCATTGGGATCCACAACATGTTTTGCCGTGGGTAGAAGGCGCCATATCGCTGATTCGATGGCTCATGTCGGCAGCCAAAACACTGACGATTTCACCACTCACAGATATCGAACTGGCGATTGTCACCTGGGTCCGGCATATCATGAAAGAATCACTCCCATCTCTGGATCCCGAAGGCATTGAGAAGTTCTCAGATACTGTCAGCGACTTCTCCATGAATGATCAGGCATTGTCACGGTTTAGACTACGGGAGGAGAAGCCGACTATATACTGGCCCTGGAAGTCGCTATTCCAGAACAGTATATACCAGGGTAATAGGTCTCAACCGAGACCACAACATATTTAAACATACAGAATAGTGAAATACAACCTGAGTTCAATCCTGCAATTCTTCCCACATGCGTACGGATCACTCACGATCCCCGACAGGCATCGATCCGTAAACTTGGCTATAGCGTGATGTCGGTATGGGTTTGCACTATCCCACAAAGCAACAACCCATGGCCCGTCGTCCAAGTAGTGGGGGATTCGTTGAAGCTGTAAAAAGATGGGGTGAAACAACGAGCGATTCGCTGAACAACCCATTGCACTGGGTCCTACAGCCTTGGCACCCACGTCACCGCTAACGGTTTCCAAAACGATTTCCCCAAATTCTCCTCAGCAGTCTACTACTCAACGACCCACAATCAGGAATACGAACTTATCCCAGACGTGCTAGTCTAGATGTTGACGCATGTCCCGACGGCAGAACACTCGACAAGTCGGCCATTTTTTTTTTCAGCCACACGCTTGTCGCCGAATTGCATTACCAAGCATCTTGTCAAGCGCGAAGTCTCCTTATCCTGTACCCGCGCTTCAACACAATTGATCAAACGCCATATTCAATATATAAAGCATATCTTTATCCCGTAACAATCTCGCACATATAACTCTATCCTGGATTGGTCAGCGCTTCGTGACTATGACTACCGATCAATCCTCCCATCGCGAGATCGCACTCTATACTCTGGTCCCTCAACATCTTCAATATCCCCGCCATCTCAAGTATTCTGTCCGACCCGCCCTCCTTCAAATTCGATTTTGGCCCTCGCGGTGCTCTCAAATCGCTCGGGAAACGAGGATTCACAAAGAGTGAAGTGCTCGAATTCTTTGAGAGGCACCAGACCATCGTCCAAAAGTTCGAAGTAAGTCGAAACCGTGCAGGTCTTCTGAAATAGGTGCTCATGATGTTACATGAAGTTCCAACAACCAGATTTCATCATCGAGGGGCCCAGGGGCGTTGCGTTTCACACTTACTCCAAGGGCGTTGCTGTGGATGGGCAGCCATTTGAGAACGAATACTCGTGGTTTGTAGAGTTCGGCGACGATGATAAGATCATCAGGGTGACAGGAATGGTCGATAGCGGTACATCATTTCATTAAGTCAAAACAGAACGTCAATCTTGGTACTGACCCGTGCAGCATACATTCGAGACGTTACGAAACGGGTTGGATATGTCCATAAATGGGCTGATGATCAGGAAACCGCTTGAGTGTTACTACCGCTGTAAGACACTAATTGGGGATTTAGACCTGTCAGGCACAAAGGGCCTACCTTGAAGGTTTGATGACTGGGATCGCTTCTGCGGCATCGTTCACCCACGAGCCCTAGTCACTCATGTAGTGCTATCGATCCTCTACCCCAAGACGGTCTGACATTTCCCCTGCAGCTACTCCACCTACGGAACTTCCTGCATGGCCACCTTGTTATTGCCCCTTGTCTCCTTTTGTGTTGTAAAGAGTTGCCTGCTTAAGACTTGCAGCTGCTTCGCTCCTTCTACTAAGCTTTTGCCTAACAACATTACCACTGCAGCAACACTAGTACATAAGGTCCCATGTTTTCCCACCAAGGCCCATGGGGGGCCTTGGGGTATTCGTGGGACATTCGTAGGAATCGTGGTTCGTCACGTGTTTGGTGTTCGTGGAGTCCCACGGTCTTGGCTTGGACCGTTTGTAGGATTTCGTGGGACGTCACGTGACCGTGAGGCTAAGCGTTCCTTCGATCCGCCGCGCACCATTGGCCATAAGACTGCCAACCCCGCGTATGGTTCTTGGGATCGTAACAAGACGATAAACATAGGCGTTAATAAGACGCCTGGCTAGTTAGAGAGGCAGTAAAAGCAGCTAAGCTGTAAAATGGATGCACGCTGGACCTGGCGATTTATAGGCATGATGGGTACGTTCCGAGCACCCGAAAGAAAAGGTGTCCCGTCACACCGTGCGTCCCAGCACGTAGGTACGGACGTTAGCGAATATAAAGGATCTGACGCTTTTGACAGAATAATTGAAGCTCGCTCTATACTCGGAGTGCCTACCGTGAGCTCTTGCTATCGAGCAGCACAACCTTGCTCCCGTCTCGCAAGCCGCTATTAGGAACAGACAAATAGTCTAGCGCCCTGCGCCCTGATGACTTGTAGAGGCGGACGGCCGCGAATGTGAAATTAGACTCGCACGTTGACTTCGAAAACGATGCACGCTTCCAAGCGATCTAAAAATAAGAGCGAAGCTTGGACTAGATAAGCCCTCTGAAGCAGGGAACGTCGTGCTTGGTATGCAGAGCTTAGCGCTGGAAGGAATTCTTGACTCGTACGGATAGCTCTCGACCAAGATCACGATTCCTCGTAAAAAATCCAGACAAGCTGTAGTCTAAGATGTGACCTTGAGGCATTATTGCTGCCTGCAATGGCAAGAGGAAAATCCATGATTGAGACTCTTGCGAGGCTGTCAAGGCAGACTTACATGCACGTACAGGCAGAAATCTGGTGTTCCTGCAAATACGGTGGACACAGGGTTCTTGACAACCTACCGTAAGTTTTAAGACTTCTAATGAGATTCAAGACTAGACTCGCACCTTGGTTCCGAAAACAATGTGCAGTCCTAAGCGATTGAAGTAGTGCGAGTCTAAACTGTATTTGCAGCCGTCCGCCTCTACAAAGCACTAAAGTCCAGAACACTAAACCGCTCGCCTGTTGCCAACAGCGGCTCGCGCGATGGAAGGCAGATGCGCCGCCCGAGAGCATGACTAAGCTAGTACCTCTTACCTTGTATAAAGTGAGCTTCAGCAGCTGTGTCTTGCGCCGTACTACCAAGAACATCTCAACTCAGCCATACTCACTACTCCTCTTCATACACGCAGTCTATCTGCCTCTCACAACGGCACACTACAACATGGCGCTCTCCAAGCTAGGCCTTGCAGTCCTCCCTGCTCTGGTGACCCTGGTCAGAAGCAGTCCAGTGGCAAGCCCCGAAAGTACCGCTTCCCTCGCCCATCCTCGCGCAGTTCATCTCGATACCTTTGGAACGTTCCAGGACGGTACCTACCAGATGACATATGAGCCGGACGGCACATCTTCTGTCGTCATCGTCAACAGCACCGTACCTCTTACGGGTCAGCCCGTCAAGCGCTCCGCCAGCCCTCTAGTGCCACGCGCCTGCGGCATGGGCGTTGGCTGCGACGGCATCGCGCTGAATCACGGGGACTGCGACCGTGCCGTGGAAGGACTGAAAGCGCAATGCGGCGGCAGCGGGAACAAACTCAGTTACATAGGTTCTATCTATACAATTGTGGGCGACACGGTGGCCTTTTACTGTCAGTGGGATACTCAGGATTCTAAGGAGCCTCGTTGTGTGGCCGACTCAGACACGAATGCGAATCTGCTAATCACGGACTGCTGCGGACTGTATGGCGCAGGGAGTTTTAGCGATGTACCAAATAAGCTTGTGCAGTCTGCAAGAACGTATAGTTATGGGTACACGACCGTGGAGCATGGATGGTGTGTTGGTGATCGTTAGCAGGCAAAGGAACAAGCTTAGGTGTTGATAGAAACGAAATGCCGTTGAAAAGTTGACTGTTGCATGCTCTAGCTATTTCTGCAATCAAAATGAAGGCCCAATGTTAGGTTAACGCTCTACCGTCACCCCTAAGAAGGAAACTGCTGTGTTCTGATCAAGCAGCACATGTATTGGGCACGCCTGCAGGCAGGACCTGCACCAGCGTTCGGCTGGCTGGGTCCATGTCGACGTATGTGGTGGGAACCCTCCCGTGCACACTCTGGCTTTCAAAGTAGCTAGCAGGCGCAGCGTGTGTGAAGAGAAGCTTCGAGAAGCATGCGCCACAGCTTAAGTGATAGTGACTGGTGGCCCATAGTAAACCCATGCTGCGGCTATCATGCTTTTGGGGAGCTGTTCCTGCGATCGTTTACTGAGTGAGCAGACTGGAGACATTAGCCTCACGCTAAGAGAACCAAGGAGCGATGCTGTGCTTTGGCCAATAGTCAGCCTTGAAAACCCAGCCATAGTGACCTGCACACTACACCTGCCACTACCATAATTGATGGATAGTGGTCGGAGTAGATCACCGCAGTATTCTATGTGAGGTGCAGAGTTGCCAGATTCAGCAGGAAAGTAAACAGCGGAGGAGAATACTGATCTGCTCTGACCTCATCCTTGCAACGTTGTGGGGATGAAAGGGGACGTACAGATTGAAGGATTTGAACCTGCAGTAGATACTTAGTCAGCGCGCACCCTTCTCGGGCTTGCCCTGCGGACTAATGCCTGACACAAAGAGCCGATTCCGTTTTAACCTCCTTGAACTATGTACTATCAACCAGCCGGCCTGTACCCAACTGCTGTCCGTGGTGAATACACCAATCACGTGCACCTATCCCTTTGCCTGAGTCCGTACTGTGACAATTAGAATATTTTAGACCCGTCTCTATATAAAATCATAGAGCTCTTTAAGCTATGTAACTTTAGTTCCAGAGAAGTTTCATTATTTCCCCTCTTTAAGGAGTTATATTACATGTTTTGTAAGCGAGCGCCGTACCGCCAACCCCTCTACTGAAGCCGATGTACAGCACTGGCTACACAGCAGAGTTCTAACCTAAACGCAAGTCAAAGATTAGCTAGAGAGAGGCATGTAGTTGGCTCTTAAAGTGTTACAACAAAGGCGGCCAGAATAGGCGGTGGTTTGGTCGGCTGCGCATCAGCGGGTACAAGAGCGCAAATGTAACGTTAAGCGCTTGATTTGCCTGGACATGCCGTCTTGTTGCTATCTTTGCTTGTCAGCGCCCGGTCCGCTTCACGTGTTGCGACCACGTTATAGGCGATTCTTGCAATTTGGCCATTGTAACATAGATGGGAGCAGAAGATTGCAGCATTGTTAGATAGCAATAGCGATGGGGGTGGGGACTGCCGTTATTCGAGTTACTTCTAACTGTTATATTTAGAGGTTTTGTTCAATGCTAACTATTTCCACTTCCTGGATCATGTATGCTGTTTAGCAGAGTATAGATATCTTGTTTCCATTATCCGATCCAGCTGCTCAAGTGATTCTGTTGCAGTAAATGCAATAAGTGAAGGTGTAACCGCGCAGGGCAGTAAGCCAGGGGTAACCGCGCGAAGCAGTAAAATCAGTATATTCTGTTGTGTTGTTGTTCAGTGTTCTGTCTCTCACTCGACCCCCAGCGGGGTCTGTTTACATGACGTATCTGTCGTTCAGACAGAAAGTGCTATTGGAACAGGCAAGAGCACTGCACCAGCACACGTGGCAGGAATGACCGCTTTACTCCATAAACCATCACAGATTCTCCTAAGCCCCCACCCTGTGCACTCGTCGCGCCAACACGTCATGCTAAACCCAAGTTTTGTTGTTGTTGCTATCAGGTGTTTTATGCTTCCTGTAACCCTGCGAAGACCAAGGGGAGGTGTCGGAGGGAGTGAAGATATCCACCGATCGCCATCTGTTTGCTAGCGGTCCGTTGCAGTGTTTGCTAACGGTCCACTGCACTGATCGTCCAGCTCATTCGGTTAGCTTGGTTTGCTTCCCCAACCCTTCACTGCTATCCCATTCTACTATATAGTCTCGATCGATTCTAGCCAATAGCTCGTAAGATCAATCAACACAATCCACTCACTTCAACAAGAGGGATACCGTGGGCTGCAGTTGCATGATTCCAGAAGTCAGGCTCCAAGGTTGTGAGGTCACTGTAGGCAGGCAATCGGACACAGGATGGATTGGGGCCATCTGAGGCCAAATGGGATGAGATTAGACGAATCCTTGATGGCTGAGCCTCAAGGTTCGTAAGGAATATATACAGGTGGCCCATGAGCCTCCGGTCCAGCTCCGGAGTCTGTCCAAGGGCTGGCCGGTACATGTAAGGGGAAATACCCGTGACAGCAAGCCCTGCATGCTCTCATTAGCCCGATCAGGCCTTGTTCTATGACTGATTAGTGCTGGATACCATGAAGGATGGGTACACTTACCCCTTGTTGAGGCGCTGGCTGACTCTCGGCATGGCTATGGTGCTGTGGGATAAAGCAGAGAAGGAGGAAAGTGAGGTCTCACAGTCAATTTGAACTCTGTGGCGCTGTGTAAATCTCCTTCACTGGTACGCAATTGCATTGGCTGAGTATATTCAAATATTTGGTACAGTAGAGGGGTGGATAGCCCTGACCCAGGTGTTTATTTTGAGCATCTCCAGGTGCATGCCGCAGCAGCCCTATCTCATTGTGCAACAACACAGCAACGTTGCATCAAAAGTCCAACAACAGCAATCAATTCAGCGCACTTAGCTGCCCTATTGTAGAGCTGGGTCAGTTAAAATATGGTGTGGTGGCAAAGGAAAGTGGTATGTGAAAAATATTGACCTGGTGTTTCTCACTAATTGGGGGGTGCCGGTTGTCCTGAAACTCACAATAGCTCCTTCGTACATTGACCATCTCACCTTCATGTTAGATAGCTGTGTTCTGCGCACTAACGAGGGAGGCATCCCACTGCCTTCAGATCTCAACCTGACTTCGTCTCTTGAGCAGGAGGAAGAGCCTTCGCAACTCTTGGTAGAGGACCAGTGGGTTTTGTGCAACATGCAGCGCTTGTTGTGGCTGCCGCCTGAGTATCGGACAGAAGAGGCAGTAGTGTACAAAGACATAGTCTGTCTTGGGTGTCCATCAGGCCGCGTGGCTCTGCTAAGGCTGCGTTGAGGTGTGCGCAGGAGCATTGCAGTCGCGCGGTGTAGTATGCTCACGAACGCATTGGCTGCAATAGAGAAGGATGTGAGCGATAGTCTGTCGTCTCGCTCTGCAGTGATGCGATTCAGTTGCAGCAAGTTAGTTCGTTGCCTAATTATCGTCACCCGCAAGCGCATGCTGATCGCCAAACACATCTATAGCGTCACAGTAAGCAAGACGAAGCGCAAGTCATGTCTGTATTTTAGACACTTCAATTCATCTACTATGCGTAAGCCAGCTAGCAGCGCTAACAAATATCACAGAGAAGGAATAGAAAGTTCTAGACCAAGTCGAAGCTGTTATCGAGCAGATGTATGTCTCTATCTGCTCAAACATCGAATAAATGATTCATATTGTTCAATCAAATATCTTAAAGTCACTATGCTAGGCCTTCAGTCGTTGCCCTTGCAGCCGTCCGTCCATCCGTTCGCGGCCTCGACAACTTTGTTATTGTTCCAACAGCGCGCTCGAACCCAGATTGGCGTATTGAAGGTAGCCTTCCACTCGTATCCGTTGTGGTCGGCTGGATTATCGTGATAGTCAAACTTCCACGCCGTCGTGCCGAGTCCATAGCAGCTGTTCATGTTCGGCAGCATGGTCTTCTGTCCGTAATCCCAGGTAGAGAAGCCGGCACCCTCGACCGTATACTGCCCAAGTACGAACTTGTACCAGCCCTCGCAGCGGCCGTAGGGTGCGCGTGGCCAAGGCCAAGGGCGGTTGTTGCGGCGAGGATGAAGCTCGTACTTGTAGTCTCCTTCATCGCGAATGTATCTTCCGCCACACTTCCAGTTCATGGGGTTGTCAGACGTGTCGCAGGAGTTGATGAGCTTCTTCATTGACTCGACACACTGGTCTTTGTCGAACGCCGAGACGCCGTTTCCTAAGGTGACGATGTACTCATGCTCCTCGGGTGTGCCCTCGAAGTAGGTCTTGGGGTAACTCCAGTTGATCGTGTTGGATGGGTGCTTGTCTGCGACCTCCTGGCAGAATTCCTCGTAATTCTCGTTGGTTTTGTTCCCACTAACGTAGTACTTACTGCCAGTGCTCGAGAAACACGTGAATTCGTCTTTGACCGTGCAGGCAGGTGAGTCGACGCCTAACACGATGGAGCGTAGATCCATGAGTTCGGCGAGGGCAAAGGAGGCTATGGTGAGGTGTCCAGCCTCATTTGGATGGAACTGCACGTGTAAGCGGAAGGTCATTGATGACGTGCATTATCGCGAAGTCCACTTACGTTCTGTCCGACATGGTCGGGCATGCCCATGCCAAAGGTCATGTCAACGCCGCCATCCCCGGGGCAACCTGGTGGTGATGGGTCTCGAGGATTGAGCTTGTGCCTGACGGCAGCATTGGGATTGGGTGACTTGTAGAGGATTGAGTCGTAGAGGGTGCGCTCAAGGTTCCTATCACGGGCCTCCATGATGGCTTTGAGGCGTTTGACTTGACGCCTCTCTGAGGTAGAGAGCCTAGCTGAGCTCAGCATATGCTCAAGATCCATATCACGCTTGCGTAGCTCATCTCGTTCAACATCACTCGCCCAGTTGAACCAAGGGTGTGTGTCTGGCTTGATGAAGTGCATGTCCGGCTGATTGCTGTCCGGGTAATCGCCGTTGCTGCTAGGCGAGCACATTCGGGCGTCAACTTCGTTCGAGACCCAACGATCCCACTCAGCGTAGCCGACCTTGTATGAGATCTTGTCGCTTTCGGCGGCCTCATTTACGGCATCTCTAATGGAACTGTTGATGTCGATGACCAGCTGATTGAAAGTATGACGGCGAGAAATCGTAAGAGCCTGATATGAGGCACCTAATGGGAGGAACCAGAAGACGTCCCACGATTGCTTATCACAATTGTCCGAGGTCGTGTCAAAGAATTGAGCGTAGCCGTTAACGACGACGATGCCGTCGTCGTTCATCTTCTCATCAAGCGCTTCCAGAATCTGCTTAACGTTGTCTTTGATGATGGACTTCACGTTCTCCTGGGCTTTGGCAATAACCGTTTCGCAGGCGCTGTTCTTGAAGTACGGCAACATGATGCAGTCCGCGATGATTTGCGCCAGACACAGGTCGTTTCCGCCGGCGGTGAAGGTGACAAAATCGAGTTCGCCCTTTAAGGCTTGAGCCTGCTGATAGATCTGCTCAGAGCGATCGCCGCTGCAGGCAAGGTATTGGAATCCACCATCCTTCTGAACATGAGCGCCGAACTGGGCTTCTATAACCTTAGGGTACGCCATATCGTATCGGGAGCACTTATAGTTGTCACGAATCTCCTCAAGGCCATCAGGCACTCTTATAGCCACCTCGTCAGCGGTAATCTGATGGCCCATGGGTCGTCCGGCACCGATACCGGCTGTGTAGCTGTCACCAATAGCCGCCCAGCGCTTGATCCATTCCATATTGCTGGGATCGCTGTCTCGTTTTACAAGGGGCGAAGAGGCTGAAGATGAGGATCGGTTGATAGGATGGGCATGCTTTGCGTGTAGTCGTGGAACGTAGCCGTTGACTACATTCACCAGAGCCAAGAGGCCCACGAGTGGCTCGAAGATCATCATGGCTGGATTCACGCAGCGAGAACGAGCGACATGAATGACTTATGAGCGTAACACTGAGCGTGTGAGGCCAAACTTGAAATGAAAAGAAGGATATCGTAGTTTGCGAGAAGGAAGGAGTGTATGAGACAAAAAAATGATAGCAAATGACAGAGAGCGCAACGAACACCAGAAGAAAGGAAACGGAAAAGCTCGTGGGTAATGCCCACACACCCAAACGCACATGGATTCTTGCTGCGTCAACGAACACACGGGAGTCTAAGCCAAGAGTGAGGCGTCATTACAGTCAATAATTCTGGTCAGCAGAGACCCTTGTGGTCGAGGTGAATAGATGAGGTTCCCTGTACTTGGGTATTCGAGGCGCATAACTCTGTCGCCGCACGTGGATGGTTTTCGAGCTTCCTTTTACAATGTGGTGTGGTGCGTACCTGCATCGGCGACTAGGATGTTATACAGTCTAGTGGGGCCCTCGATGGATCAATGCCCTGACTCCTCCCGACGGCTGGCATTTGGGGCTAATTTCAGGGTCTGTAAAATCCTTGTCAAACTTGTTAGCCAACCTCAACTCCGTCCTTCGCTAACCTTGGCGTAAGCCTTGTCAAATGATGAAGTTCTGAAATGGATGGCGTCTAGATTGATGTCGATAGTTCGCTTTTGGGGGCGAGAACCGTCGCAATGATCCATGACAATCTTGACCATCGATGAAGACCGGAGTGGGAACTCGCCCTGGGTCGTGCCCGCTCGCCTTACAATCTTCAAGCTCTCGTTGAGCTTGTCGTCGGTACCTCTCTTTGAGTTTGTCATTTTTGCTTTCTATTCGCTTTGTCACGATATCTGCGTTGCGCAGATTTTCGCACGATCATCATGACGCTTCGACCTGCCTCGCTCCGGCGCCTTTGCCTTAGCTTGGGCCTTCTGTTGGCGGTGAACGCACTTGATCTAAGCACCTTTGCTGGGCAGGCGGAGATGAAGTTGCTTGTGGAGAACGTTGCAGGACAGGAAACGTCAACCCAAGCTAGAGAGATGCTCCTCCAAGCCAACGATCAACCCGACTACACGTGCACTGCAACGAAACGGTGCGACCTTGGTTGTTGCGGACCTCTGTAAGTTGAGCTTGTAGAACAATATAGCCATCAAGCTAACGCCTCATTATTGATGACACCGGCACTGGTGCCTGCGGCTTCGGCCCCAAGTTCTGCGGGACTGAATGCACGAGCGACTGCGAACGCAAGTCCGAGTGTGATGGCGGTGACTGGGGTCTTCAGTATGCCAACCTGACCACATGTCCGCTCAATGTGTGCTGCAGCGAGCACGGATTCTGCGGCACGACAGTCGAATTCTGTGGCCCCAATCCTGTGCCGCATCCTCAGTGCGATCTTTCGCAGCGCAGCGCCGACAAGCGTACAATCGGCTACTACGAGGGCTGGAACTACCAGCGTCCTTGTGGCAACATGGAGCCCGAGGAGATTCCCCTAGGGCACTGGACGCACATCAACTTTGCATTTGCCCTTGTCAACCCCAAGACGTTTCACATCGAAGACATGGATGCCGGCACCGGATCGCGGTATGGCCGTGTTGCGGCGTTGAAGAGCAAGCAGCCTGACCTCAAGGTCTGGATCGCTGTTGGTGGTTGGGCTATGAATGACCCTGGACCGTATCGGATGGCGTTTTCAGACATGGCTGGCAACGAAGCTAATCAAGACAAGTTCTTTGACTCGCTTCTGACATTCATGAGGAAGTATGATATGGACGGTGTTGATCTGGACTGGGAGTAGTAAGTGTTCAGCTGTCATCGGTTTTAGATCATGAGCTAACGCACGCGCCCCAGCCCTGTGGCTGAAGACCGCGGCGGCATCCCCGCCGATTTCGACAACTACGTCAACCTCCTCAGACGCCTGAGAGAGCGGTTGAATTCGACAGGCAGGCAGTATGGCATCAGTCTTACTCTCGTAAGTGACGCGCTCTCTTTCTGCTCTGCTCGCAACTAAGTTTGACAGCCCGCCTCCTATTGGTACCTCCGCGGCTTCAATCTTCAAGAAATGGAGCCGTATCTCGATTGGTTCAACGTAATGACCTACGACATACATGGCGTCTGGGATGCCAACATCGACAGTCTCGGCCCCTATGCCCACGCACACACCAACCTCACCGAGATCAAGATGGGCCTCGAGCTGCTGTGGCGCAATAACATAAATCCAGAGCGCGTAGTGCTCGGCCTCGGCTTCTACGGGCGCAGCTTCACGATGAAGGACCCTGGATGCATGAGCGCCGGCTGCGAGTTCTCTGAAGGAGCCAATGGCGGTGCCTGCACGGGTACACCCGGCGTATTGTCCGCGGCAGAGATTGTTGAGATCATCGCCAATGGCGCTACGGCTACGTACGATGAGGAGGCTGCCGTACAGATTGTAACCTGGGATTCGAACCAATGGGTTTCGTTTGACGACACCAAGACACTAGGGATGAAGGTCGATTTTGCACATCAGCATTGCTTAGGAGGGTAAGCACAACAATCTCGACGTTCATCAATCCTGTTTGCTGGGCCCCGCTTGCTAATTTTCCGTTAGGACTATGGTCTGGGCAATCGACCTCGATGATGGTACACTCACTAAAGCCCTTGGAGAAAATATCGAGCGGCCCGAGCTGCCCACGTACGCACCAAGGCCATTCTTTGAGTGCGGTAATAGAGATGAGCTGTAGATATTAGCTGGAACATAGGAAGACAATCGTTCGGCTTGGGTAATACGTACCAAATGCAAGTAATAATGTTCACGATCTGCCTGACCATGTGTGATCCAGATCCATACTACCGAGAGCAGACGTTGTTCTCAAACTGTACTGTAGCCAGCTACTACCTCGAAATTGGGATGAATGCGTGGAACTAGTCGCGACTTGGGAGGGCCGGTTCAATCACAGTGTGCACATCGAATTATAACTGTAGACCGAATAATATTGGGAGGAAACACAGCCAACGAAATCAAAAAGGACCCTAATATAGAACAAGGTGAAAAAAGACTACATAAAATTGCCATGCACTTGTGCATATTTGTCCCACTCTGTCTCCTAGCATAGCCCAGCTTTTGTGTCACCAGCACGGAAAAGCATACTCCTGGCTTTCTTGAATCCGGATCTGACCTTGCTTGATTTCGAAGTGTACGGCTCGCCCGTCGTCGAAGAGGCTGGAGTGCCGTAGAGCGTAATCAGACGGTCAACGTCCATGCCGCTAGGAGCTAGGCGATTGGGAATGGGGTCGTTGTTTTCGTACACCATGACCTGGGCACGGCCATCCCCGGACCCAGTGCCACCGGCACCGGAGGGGTACATCATGAGCGAGTCTGGATCGAATTGATCGTCCGCAACCAGATGAACGGTATTCGGCAGAGGAAGCCACTCGGCAGCACTGAACTTGTGTTTGCCGGCAACCACCTGGGAGATGCAGAGACGGGAAAGGTCGGTCTCCAACTGGACTTGCAGCGGTCTGTTGCCATCCGCAATGGCTGTAGCGATCTTGGTCCGCACACTCGCGTGTGCTGTGTCGTGGTCCTTGAGACTCTGGCAGTTGAAGCCGCTCGTCTGGAAGCGGGTTGTAGCGCCCTTGACCGAAGGAAAACTCCAGCCGTTTGCACTGTCCGAAGGGCTCACACGCCAGTAGTAAGGGTTCTGATGCTCGTGAAGCAAACCCCAGACATGACCGAGCTCGTGGGCAACATTGGCGGCGATGTCGTCCTGGCCAATACCCTCCGTATCAGAAAGGTGAGTGTACGGCCCTACAATGGCATTCTCGGGGTCCGCCTCGTTGGCCGCCTCGTCAATGTTGGGTATGCCTAGCGTTGAAGCGAGTCTACCCTTGTCGTTGTAGTGAATGCGTAAGACGGTACTGCGCTGCGACTCGCAGACGCTATCCGAAACCTCCTCGTAGGAGAAGCCATGTCTTATCAGTGGAGCCCATAGATCTCTGGCCTGTTTCCACAGACCGCGTATTATGACGTTGGTGTTCTCATCTTTGTCTTCGAAGCAGTACTTGATCTTCTTGTTCGGCCAGATGCGCGACACCGAGTTGTCGTCTGCTCGGTTTTCAATGGAGATAGCGCGTTTGACGAGCCGCGACGTCGCGTTGAGAGTCTCGATTGCTGCGTAGTCCGGGCTAGGATTTGTGCGTTTGTTTGGTGCTTTCGCCTCCCAGAACCTACTGCCGCCGAGAACGCCTTCGGCGCTGGCCAGCAAGAGACCAGCAATGAAGGTGGAGGAGAGATGCATGGCCAGTGAAATGACTGGATTGGCAAAAGAGTGAATGCCTCGGCCAGTGACTGAGGTTTCAAGTAGCCATTGACGATGCCTCACGACCCGACGAAAAGCATAAAGTTCAGGTCCGAGTTGGTAGGGTAAGGCACGGAGCCCAAGAATATACAGTCGTCCGCGCAGCAATCCGTCTCTTGGTTCTGGCCCCCAACCGGCTCACCTAGATTCTGTCTTTTCTTATCACGCGTGCTTACGAACTGTCCATGAAGGTAGAACATGCAATTACCTGTGCCGTCCGATGGCTACAAGGATAAGAATCCTGCCAACTCGCTACGGCCCGCACTACTACTCCTGGCCACTGTAGATCAAAAAGGAAGGTATCGGCCATTAGAAGCCTGCTAGTCTGTTGGACCCTGGCGGCTGCATCGCACTTGGCAATATCGAATACACAGATGGCTGAGGAGAGCGATTAAGCATGCTGGTTGCAAGTGATGGACGCCTGCTTGCAACTGTCAGACGGGTCCCTGCAGGTGATGTTATTTAAGTTAGCCTGTCCAGGGTCCTGGGTCAAGTGCTGAGCTTTGCAGCATCCTATCCTGCAGTATGCAGCCAAGATGCGAGCGGATGTATTACTTCCGTTTACGACATCCGTTCTGGCTTGCAACCTCGTCGCTATCAGGCGACGCGAGTACTGAATCATCAAACTCGTCTGTCACAGCCTCTGGGCATCCAGATTGTCAATTCGAAGTCCTTTGCGTTCTTGTCACCCCTATTTCCCGTTGTCTTGGGCCCTTACGCTTCTCCTCTGTGCTGGCGCTCCCAGTCGCGCTACCGACTTGCACCGATATTGGCAACGTGGAAGACAAGTATCTTTGTGGTAGTCTCAGTCTCACGTTAGGTGTCTGTTAGACGTTTCCCTACGATTGGTTTTCTCGACTGCTTCACTGGCCATCTAACCACCGAGTCGCCCTTCGTGCTCCTGTCATGCGGTTCTCTGTTCAAAAGGGCGCTTGGCTGGCCGCTGGCCTGATACTTCCAGCCATTGTTGCTCAGGATTCTAGTCCTGGCGGCTCGGTCCACCCAGGTCAGCCCGAGAACTGCAACGGATGGCATACTGTGGTTTTGAACGACAACTGCCAGAGCGTGTCTCAACGTTACGGCATCTCTTTGGAGCAGTTCCTCTCATGGAACCCTGCCGTATCCTCAGACTGCCTCACCAACTTCTGGCTCTCTTCAGCCTACTGCGTGAGGGTAGGACAAATCAGCTCGGTGCGGACTACCACCACTACATCCACGTCCAGAAGCGTCTCTTCCGCTTCCAGAGTCACATCTCAGTCCATCACCAGCTCGGCCTCTAGAACGTCGACATCCTCGTACGCCTCAAGCTCCTCGTACAACTCGACCTACTCGAATTTGCACCCCGTCACCTCATGGAACGTATCGGCAACAAGTACTGATGGGACGTGGCCACCTACCAAGACGCTCGCAGGCCAGACGGCGATCTGCAATGCGTGGCATCGTGTGATACCTGGCGACACCTGTCAGCGGATGTTAGACAGATTCGGTCTCCGGTCTATTGACGTGTTCCTGAGCTGGAATCCGGCCGCCGAGGAGGACTGTGACATGCTCATCGCCGACTACTGGGTCTGCGTTGGCGTCCAGCGACAAGTAGGCAATACGGATCTCGAGTGGGAGACGGCTCAACCCGAGTTCACTGCGCCTCCCGAACCCACAGAATACACTTCCATCAAGTTGCCCACGGCCGACTCAAGCTTCACGCCGACGCCCTCTCATGGTCCCATGCCCTCAAACTGCAAGGTGTTCCACCAGGCTTCAGCAGATCAGAACTGCAACGACCTCGTCAGCTTGTACGGCTACTTCTCACAAGAACAGTTCTTTGCTTGGAACCCAGCTCTCGGTGGCAATTGCCTGGGCCTCTGGCTTGACACGTGGTATTGCGTTGGTGCCTACTCTGACAGCGACCTCCCACTGCCCGCGCACCAGACGACCAAGCCGACTGAGGGACACATTCCGTCGGGCTACCCCAACGATTGCGCGCGTTGGTACCAGACGACCGGTGATGAGACATGCGATCTGATTGCGACCATGTTCGGCAGCTTCAGTGTGGCTGACCTCGTGCAATGGAACCCGTCAGTCTTTGGTGATTGCAGCGGCATCGTCTCGGGGGCGTGGTACTGCGTAGGTCGCCCAGGCACCCCTACGACCCGTACGCCTGGCGCACCATCAGCAACGCAGCAGGTACCAAGCACACGTCCCACTCAATCAGGCATCGTTACAGCATGTACCGACTTTTGGCTTGTGAGTACCGAAGATACCTGCGACAGTATCGTGCGACAGGCTGGCATATCGCTCGACGACTTTCATAGCTGGAACCGAGGTGTCACCTTAGGCTCCTGCGCAGGCCTCACGGCGGACTACTACGTCTGCGTTGGCGTTGACGGTCAGGGAGGCGGTGGCCAGACGTCGACTGTGATCAGTACAACCCAGACGGCCACAACTACCCGACCCGTTACAACGACAACGGCTGCACCGACACCGGTGCAGACGCCTTCGCCTATCCGCGAGGGCATGACACAGGATTGCGTACGATTTTATCTGCAACAGCCTGGCGATCTTTGCTGGTCAATGGCGTCCGGTGCCGGCATCTCCTTGGAGTGAGTACCTTCCTCATCCAAATGTCTTTCCAACTCTTGCACGTGACCCTTGAGCACGCGGAACTCCTGCTGACTGCCTGTGTACAGCCAATTTTACGCATGGAACCCTGCCGTTGGCAGTGACTGCCAAAATCTTTGGCCCGATTACTACTACTGTATTGGTGTAAGCGGTTAAGCAACGACTATCACACAGGGGCCGGCTGTGCCAATATAGGGTTCTTGGCTTTTTGAAGGACGGGGTTGTAATAAAGTGGGCAAATTTCCGTGAAGGCGTTCTCTGGCGCAGGGATAATGTATCTAGACTAGCGGCCTTTGGCGTCCGCTAGCGCCAGCAGTTGCAATTGGCTCAACCTGGGCGGTTGCTCCCCTTCTTAACCCTACCATAGGAGAGGTCATTTCATACTTCACGTTGGGCCATCCTGGTTCAGTATTTGTGCGCAAGCTGTCCATGCCGTCGCTGTCAAAGGAATTTCCATAACCTGCTTTATCAAAATCAGCTTGCTTCTTGACCCCTTCTATCTTCATTGTTCCCCTCCACGACCGTGACAATGGCTAGATTCAGTGCATGGGTGAAGAAACACCTAGGTTCCAAACCGACGGCCCAAAGGCATCCCGAATATCAGCTACCATTCCTTCCAACTCCACGCCGCTCTGTCACACTCACGTCGTTTGATGCACCGACATGTCTCTTCTTCCAATTGCCTTACGACATACGCGAACTAATTCTTTTGATGGTACTCGGTGGCTGTACCCTCCATATGGACATTGTGCGCCAAAAAGAAGGCTGGCAATGGAGAGGCGCCGTCTGCCACCGGAATCAGTGCAGGGTACCCTCCATGCGGTATGCCTGGGCCGGTCCATGGAGCGACCCATGCCTGCGCTATGCTTACGGTCGCAATGGAGAGTTTCTCGAAGAACACAATCCTGGCATCATGGGATTCCTCCTATCGTGCAGACAGGCCTATGCTGAAGGCATTCATATCCTGTACTCTGCCAACTGCATCAACATCGAGAGCCAGCCTCTGCTCATCCATCTCCCGCAACTTGTTCCAACTGATCGGCTTGGGTCCATCACTTCCCTTGAGGTAGTTGTCACGGCGCACCGTATCGAGCAAGACAACGGCAGACCGTCCTTCAGCTTGAACCACTTAAAGCCCATTCTCGAGAACATTAAGACGCATTGTCATCACCTCCACAGCTTCTGCTTGTCCTTCTTAGTCGCCAGCTGCGGCTGCGAGATCCTCGACGGCCCAACGCTGCCCTTAGTTGACGCCTTCTACCATTCCATGCAGTTGCGCAACATGAGAGTCGAGCTGCCCTCGGTCACCTATTGGAAGGTGTGCGATTACAGGTCAGTAGACCATCACCCGCGCGAGGCACCGGCCAATACGTGGCGCGAAAGATCGCCATGGAGGTCTTTAGATGGCGGGGAGCCCAGGGTGCAGGACAGATCCATTGAGCGCTACCCGTATCCGCCACTGAAACTGCCACTACGTGAGGACGAAGATGAGAGCGTGGAGAGCGTTGGGTATTGGCTTCTTGAGGGTGACTCGGGGCCGATGCACCCGATGGTGACATGCTCATAGGTGCGGAATCTGAGCAAAGCACTGTCACTTGTAGTATACGTTATTCGCACAATTTTTGTCCTTCGCAGCAACATGGACTTGACGATTTGGGACACCGTCGAATGGAGCTAACCATGGGTTAGTAGGTTAGTGGGGTGTACTTGCGACTAACCCACTAAATCCCCCGGAATCACCCAGTATATAGGCACCCTGTGCAGCATTGATAGCATCTCCGTAGTCAAGAATACAATCTTCCAACAGTACTTCTCTTGTCCCTTTGACATCACTACCAACGAAGTTCTTGTCTACGACCATCAACCTTGCCATACCTTCCTACAATCCAACATACCCTAAGGCTTACCTAAACCAAGACTAGCTACCTTTGGTAAAGTAGAAAACACCCGTTACAGATCTGCAGTGCTAGGCTGATACCTTGCAGCTCTGCTGCGTATACTGTTGACGCTGTGTCTGGTCCCATGTGCATGGCTCGTGTTTGCTGCGTGAGCGGGCATACAGCTGCAGAGCCTATCTCGCCTTGATACCGCTGCCATCTGTGTAGATGTTGAGGCTGTCCTGATTTGCGTGTTCTCTGTCGTGTCTCTACTGCGCCTTCTTCGCTGTTGTGTCGATGTAGGTGGTCGGACCTTGGCTCCAAGGCGGAGTGAGGAAGCATGGGATCTGCTCTTGTGTTTCAACGCCTTGGCTTCGCTTGCCCTTCACGTCGCAGTGGACGTTCTCCCAGGAGTTGATGTGTCTTCCACGTGATTGAGTCGCCTCTGTGGGTTCTGTTGTGCTTACCTAGAACCCTGAGATTGTCGCGATGTCTATACTTGAGAGCAGTCGAGTGACAAGGTCGGTGTTATGTTTCCATATTTGTTGTTCAATCGGAAGGAGGAAGACCTCAGCATCGAGCGTAACCTTTGATGTGGCCTTGTAGGCCCCGCAGATGGCTCTGGCATGCTCTGTAGTGTGTTCAGTATTTTCTTGGTGTACAACTTTCCTTTTGCGCTTGCGTTAGACCAGATTGAGCAGGCATACATCATCTGCGGGAGCGCAGTGCCTGCGTATATTTTTCGCATGTCCATGAGGCTATGGCCCAGTTGGATCCTCACAGGCAGCTAAGCGTGCTGACTGTCTTCGTTGCTTTCCGTCTTATCTCCTCTACATGCTCTTTCCAATGTAGTTTTGCGTCCATTGTAAGTCCGAGGTACTTGCACGTTGCTTCGGGTCGTATCTCGCCCCACTCAGTTTGGATGGGTGTGTCGGTACTGATGTGTTTGCGCGACCTCGTGAAGTGGGTGAGCTAAAACTTGTTTGGGGCGAAGACTGATGCGTGTTTGCTAGCCCATCGTTGTGCATTCTCTCACGTCCCCCCTTGCGTGGCGAAAAATCCTGCGTAACAAAAAGCGATTCATCGTTTTCATGGCAACAACGCCAACAACAATCCGTAGAATATAAAGAGACTCGGAATATATACTTCTGACGACACACTTTCGTCAAACTTTATTTCCTGTGCAAATGCCTCCTGCTTCGCCTGCAATACCACTTTTTGCTACGAGCTCACCAAGTAGCGTTACCTCGGCCAGCCTCGGACTTGATCTAAAGCCTGCGCAAGCTGCCCGAAAAGTTGTCAAACTATAGACACAGAGCATAAGACGGTATGCCGAGCGAGCCACACGGACACATAAGCTCAATGTGCTACAGTGGTAACCTGGAGCCGTCAAGCGAGGACCGACAACTTAGCGCCCCGCTTTCTCACGGTATCGAAAAGACAGAAGCGGTAAGGCTGTATGGTATACAAACAGACGACGTGCACAGGCGGCTCGGACCGAGCCGCGAGATCTCAAACGTTGTGAATACATGACTCGTTCATGTTTAACCGTACGCGTGCATCGCTGTCAGCATCATCAGACGCGCGGATGTTACTTGTAACATATATTACTAAACGATATAGGGAAGCAAGTTGCGACAACATGTCTATTCTGCGCTCAACAATGTAGTGCATCTGTATACTGCTCTCTCACTCCTTGTGTTTCGGGCTCCTGATCCTTAGCTTTGCCAGCCTCCGTTACAACACTGAGGTCTCGCCGCTGTGTATGCTTATGCTGTTGTCTGCCGTCGCTGGAGAGAAGACGATACGAGTCTGCTCTTGCGACGCAACCGCTTCGGAACGGTGTCGCGACATGCACGAGTAGTTGGATGGTCTTCTCCGAGCGCAACACTGTATGCGGCGCATGCCCTATCGTACAGAGTGAGAGACTCGTCGTAGCGGCCTCGATTCGCAAGCAGGTGAGCAAGACAGTATGCGCTTGTCAGCGTGGAGGGATGCTCTCGCCCCAGCACCTTCTCTCTTATCGCCAGCGTCTGCCTGTGCATCGCTTCTGCCTTTTCCTTCAAGATATTCTCGACCGTCTTTCTGATACGCCTTCTCGCGTGTTTGTCGCCGAAGCTTGTACTCCTGTGTCGCAGAGAGCGCCATAGTTGATATGTCAGTGTTCAGTGAAGAACTGTACGCAAAGGGAAGAATTTGAAGATTGTACTGAGGTTGTGTTGAGTGAAGCTACGAACAGTATATATAGGTGAGTAGCTGTGAACAACGCTAGTGTGACGTGGCAGTCACTCTCATGGTAGGTGAGGTACAACAGGCAGGAGCACCCTGAACCGTGACATGATATAATCTCCGGATTGTCTTTTTCCTTCTTGTGTAACATCTGTAAGCCGTTACCACACGGTGATTCCGTGAGCATCGATCCTGGTGGCTTGAGAGCAAGCAAATTCCGGTTTGCCATCATGGAGCAAGACTCCTTGTATAGCTTGAGGCATTGCTTGCGGTAAGGAGTAAGCAAACGTGAGCGAGAGGGTGAGCGCCAGCAGGACATGGTAGTCAACAGCATGTCGGAGGTCGGCATATTGTAAAGTTCACAGACCAGACTCTTGTCTTCAGTTTGGTGGTTATGCCACGAAGAGAGAGCAAATTGGTCTAGTTCAAGCTTAGCTCGGTGGGAGGTGTGGTTACCAAAAACAGGAAGGTGCACAACGGTGTTCTTGAAACGGTACCACAACAGACGGTGAGTTGGGCAGGAGAACTTGCTGTCTCCTGGTTGCTCACCACTAAAATCCCTAATTCTACCGTATCCGGTATTTCGTAGCGCTCAAAACAGACAACAGAGGACACAAATTTGTAACTCATTGCACGTGCTAGTGGCGTGGAACATGTTGGATCCAACGGCGGCATTTGCTGGTCTAGCTATTTATAGCGATCACGGATCCCGATGTCCGACCATCACGTGCTACGTGAAGAGTAGACGAAACACTCAACTCTCACGTGCTGGCCCCTCAAGATAACCCAAGGATCTATTCTCGCGATACGCACGCAGCTCTCCTAATACAAGTACTGTATCTATGCCCTCTAAAGGACTGTGCGCTATCCTTCTTAGCATGCCCAGCTCATGAGTTGGACACGGCTATTGAGCGCAAAGCTAACTACCAAGAACAGCAGGCGACCAGATCTGGTACGAATCGGCGGCGCATCATGGGATGACCTTCAGAAACTGGGCAAACGTCAGCTCGAAGACTTAGACGCTGCTCCCGACACCCACACCAGAAAGTTGCTCAGCGAGGTGGAATTACCCATTGATGTATTTGCAAGGGTGAATTGTGAAGAACATCGGTCAAACACAGGTACATAGGTGTGTAAATCACGTCGTTTCCTCTTCGTAGGACGCACAAAAGTATAAAACGTTACAGACTGAGCACTGAGCAGTAGCAGACTAGCCTTATGGTTTGAATCTCATGCTTCGTGACTTCCGCCTCGCTCCTCTTCCTCCGCTTGGCCCTTGGTGTCACAGCTGCAGAGGAGTTTCCCGAGCGAATGAATCTGTATCATGCCACCTTCCCTTAGCTAGTCTTCCAACATCCTACCATGCCAGGCCACTCCCATGTAGGGCAGACTTGATCCCACAATTGAGCAGGTTGTAGACCCCGAAACCGCAGACTGCACAGTCTCTGCTCCGTGTTAGAGCACAGGCATGTGGAACTTGGTCTCAAGCACTGTTTGTACGCCTAGTACCGGAGATGCTCGTAGCCTCTGCCTTGTCTCGCATAAACTCAACCTCGTGACCCTACTTAACAGAACTAGGAACACCCTGTACAACGTTTCCAGAAGTGTGACTAGCCATAGGTTAGAGAATATAGTTTAGAGACACAGGTAAGCCATCAGCGAGCAACGCCGGGCTGATAGTCGTGAGCACCTCACCTTGCCCCAACGCCTGCATATCCTGTCTTTGCATTTTGATAGGCCCCTACGTATGCTCGGCTAGAAAGCAAAGCAAGAGGGGGACATTGCGCGTCATGACTGGTCCCGAGGCAGCCACCATAGTATGTATGCTCCTAGGACCCTCCTGCCGTACAATGGGTGGCATAAGAGCAGCGAAATTGTATGGTTTACGCCTTTGAGCGCTACACCCTGGGTGACCAAGTCTTTTAGGTGTTACCATCTGGATTATTTGTTATTCAAGGCGGAATATATCAACCTAGTTTCTGCTTACAATGTAGATCCTACTTCTCGTTTCTCTTTGCAATCCCTCCACAAGTCGACTCGACTTAACCTTTCTTCTTTCATTAGAACCTATATCAAATACCATGAGATTCTTCATGCTGCTTGGCATGCTCATGCCTTCTCTTGCTTCGGCACTCCCAACGGCTCCCAAGTCAGGCGGAAGCCAAGTTGAAGCATGACAGAATGTAACTTACAAGAACAGTGGTAACCCTATATATTATATTTGATGACTGATTGTGTTGTAGGACATAAGTAGGCCATCGTATAAATAAAATTCGCTCAGATAACATATTACTCACTGCCGATTGTGGTGCAACAGGTGAGTGCACCTACATTGCTCGCTCAACAGGCTGATCAAGCATCTTGCTAACTGCTGCTCGCCGTGCAGCTCGTAAGTAGGCCCAGTGTGCTTGCTCGACAGGCTGATCAAGCATCTTGCTAACTACTGCTCGCCGTGCAGCTCGTAAGTGGACCCAGTGTGCTTACTCGACAGGCTGATCAAGCATCTTGCTGACTTTTGTCGCTGTGCAGTCTGAGACTGAATCCAAGTAACAAGCTTAACGGGCTGATAAAGCTCGTTTCTTATGCTGGCTGTGGCGGAAAGTGTATGTTTATCCTATGCCGTTCCTTAGGTGGTTAAACACATTGCAGAACATGCACTTACTCTATGTTCAGTAGAACAGAACGTGGTTGCCAGGATAGAGATGGATCATGAGAGTTCTGTCTGTCGTATGGAGTTCCCGTAAGGGTTTAAGCTCAGGCCGACCAAAACGGGTTCCTGTCGTTACATATTATATAGCAAATGAGCTTGTAAAGCTGTTTTACAGACTAAGCTTGTCACAAAAACTGTGACGGTTTATGGAGTATGGAGGTTATGTGTGCCACGTGCGTTGGTGCAGTGCTCCTGCTCTTGACTGCACAAGATATACGTCATGTAAACAGAACCTAATGACTGCCGGGTGAAAGGCAATCACAGAACAACACAACACAATATATACTGATTTTACTGCTTCGCGCGGCCCCCCCTTGACCAACTGCCCTGCGCGGTTACACCTTCATATATTGCATCTACTGCAACAAAACAGACGTGACTGTACACATTGGACAACTACCTGCACGCATAAAATCTGAATTAGCAGGGACTCTTCAACAGAAGCAGTCCACATGGTGAGCGTTGCTGTCGAGCAGCATCTTGACTACCTGCTCGTGACCTCCAGCTGAAGCTGCGTGCAGTGCATTGCCGTAGTCTCCACTCTGCGCGTTGACGCCGGCGGTGTTGTGTCTGTGCACGCAATGCGCGGATTCGCGCAATGCGCTGAAACGCTTTATGGGTTGTTTGCGAAACGCTGGGTACACCCCGTGACTTACCGTGTCTGTGCGCGCAATGCGCGGATTCGCGCAATGCGCCGAGACGCTTTATGCACCCATACTTCACAACACCACAACTCAACGCCACAATGACGCTAGAGGAAGCCATTAAAGAGATAGATGCTATGATGCCATGCAAAAACATCCCTTGGACGCAATTATCCATAAAGCATGGTGTTGTGCGCTCTACGTTGACGCGCAAGTACCGAGGAGAAACGCGATCGCGTGAAGAGCAGGCAATTGCACAGCAAAAGCTCACTCCACAACAGGAGGACGAGCTTGTCAAGTATATAGAGGAGCTTACAGCCCGACGTCTACCTCCTACAAGGGAAATGATAGCAAATTTTGCGTCATCAATAGCCACAGAGCCAGTCAGCGAGAGCTGGGTTACCCGCTTCATCAACAACCACTCAATCCATCTCATCTCTCAATACTCAACGGGTATGGACAGCAATCGCCACAACGCCGATTTGTATACCAAGTACAAGCTCTATTTTGACCTGTTGCAGTCCAAAATTGCCCAATACAACGTCGACGCTGAGCACACATACAATATGGATGAGAAGGGCTTCATGATCGGAGTCACCACAAGGACTAAACACGTCTTCAGTAGACGTATGTGGGAGAAGAAGGAGGTTACAGCAACTACTCAAGATGGTAATCGTGCCTGGGTGACGCTTATAGCGTGTGTGTGTGGGGATGGATCGGCACTGCCACCAGGCCTCCTATACGAGTCTACCAACAACACTATACAGTCAAGCTGGGTGGAGGAAATCAAGCCAGGAGTACACTCTGTTTTTGTTTCCTCGTCACCTTCAGGCTGGACAAACAACGAGGTAGCCCTCGCTTGGCTCAGACAGGTGTTTGATCGCTACACCAAGAAGAAAGCACGAAGAAAGTACCGCCTATTGATACTGGATGGCCATGGATCTCACGTCACGATGGATTTCATCAACTACTGCGATCAGAACAGGATACTCCTGGCTATACTTCCTCCTCATTCAACCCACACGCTCCAGCCACTCGATGTGGTGATGTTCAAGCCTCTCTCAACAGCATACTCAAAGGAGCTCACAACACACCTTCACCATGGCCAAGGACTGTCGGTTATCAAGAAGAGCGACTTCTTCCACCTGTTCTGGAAGGCGTGGACAAGTACGTTTACTCAGGGGCTGATACTCAGGTCCTTTGAGGCAACGGGTATAGCACCCCTTCAACCCAACGTCATCCTCAAGCGATTTGCTAAGCCTACCCCTGAGGGCTCCGATAGCAACAAAAGCTCTTCTTCAGTCTATAGCGGCAAGGATTGGCTCAAAACAGAGACTCTGTTGCGCAAAGTAGCCAAAGACGAAGGCAGTGAAGAGCTGAAAAAGATCAGGCGCTCACTCCACCACATCTCAGTTCAAAACTCAGTCCTCCACCACGAGATTACAGGCCTCAGAGAGGTTCTTAAGACTCAAAAGAAGCACAAGAAGAAGAGCAAGCCTCTTGAGCTTCAGCATCACAAGGACTACCACGGTGGAGCCGAGTTTTACTCTCCTAGTAGAGTAGAGAA